AGCAGCAGAGGAAGGAAGCAGATAACAAAATAGGGACAGGAAGTGACAGTATTGAGGGCTGGAACTCCTAGGCCAGATGTCGGAAGACAAGGATCTGGGTGTTCTGGGGCCAGGGAGACAGGTCCATCGGTCTGTTTGTCACTCAACCCCTTCTCTGCCTCCAGGTGAGTGGGTCTGAGACTAATCACTTACTGAATCTTCCCTGGGTGGGGGGAAGAGGAGAACTTTTGTCTAGGAGAGCAATTTCAGGAGAGCAGGTAACACACAGGTCCCATGAAACTGCTACCACCTACCCTGGGCGGGAGAATATTGGGACTGTGGCTGTTCACTGCCAGGCACAGAGGCGGGGGACATTTTGTTAGCCCACTGGGTATGTGTGTGTGTGTGTGGCATCAGTTGCTAACATTACGCCAGCGCGTCACTGTGCCTAGCACTTGACATCAGTGATCTCATTTATTCCTCACAACAGTCATTAGGGGGTGGATGCCACCATCCTGATGGAGGAACTGGGAACTAGAGAGATGCCAGGTAGGGAGAGGTGTACTCTCCAAAGGAATGGGAGGTGAGGGGTTAAGGGGACAACAGCCCAGCTTCCTAGGAGGAGCAGAGTGAGGACAAGCCAGAGGCTAGGTGTTTGGGTGTGTAGGGCTTGGAGGAGCAGACCCCAGATTCCCAAGAAGCCTGATGAATGCGTTTGGAGAGGGTGACTGGGGCAGCAGTAATGTGAGTGGCCAGGAGAATGAGCCACTGTAGGCAGAATTAGGGATGGCTTGGGTGTGCAGCCACCAATCATCTAGAATCCACCTTGGCATGTGCAGGCCAGAAGTGATTGTTGACAACCCACCAGAAGTTCCTGGCAGGTAGTCCTAGCTTTTGGCCTCGAGGAGCCAAACAAGGATGCTGAATTGGTCTTAAGCTGCACTGGAGAGCCTAGAATGAGGGATTTCAGTAAGATTTGAGGAACTATTATCTTTTTATCTTTTTACCCAACTGAATAAATCCATGTTTTTTATCTTTTTACCCAACTGAATAAATCCATGCCAAACTGTTGGGGGAGGTCACATTGTAGAATTTGTGAAGACTCAGGGCTACTTAGTGAAACAGGTTCTGGTTGTAGACTTTGGCATCAAGGAATGAGACTCGACGGCCAAGTATGGCCATTCTGAGCAGCAATCTGTCTGGTTAAGGGGATGTTTACCCTGGAACCTGGAAATCCTGCTTTGGGAGCCACTTAGGCATCCAACACGGGGCCCTGATGAATGGCCTTGGGTGCCTGCTATGGAATACAAACTGAAGTTGGAAACAGCAAATTGTGGACACATAGTGACACGGATGAGGCTTAAGAATCTGGTGCTGAGTGAAAAAAGCAAAACCGGAATGAGACGGATGGCCCGAAACCCTGTGGTTTTAAACATATGCATACAGAGCAAGCATATGCACCTTATTGATCACACGAGGCAATGATGTCTACTGAAGGGCTGTCTTTGAGGAGTGTGAACAGGGGATGGAACTGAACACACCAAACAAAGAAGTGACAAGTTTGGTGGGTGGAGACGGGGGGCACTTTCCTCGACCAATGAAGTCAACACACAGGACCTGAGGGAAACTCCAAGGACAAAACAAAACAAAACTGAAGACAGAAAACCCAACAAAGCATGTTGGGGCAGGGTTAGGAGAGAATGGTGTACGCAGGTGTGGCGGTGGCTCAGAGGCAGGGAGAAAGTCTGCCAGTGCCAGGGTTGGGAGGGAAGGCATTTTCCATGTCTTGAAGGAAGGTGAGGGGGTGTAGGTGCCCCAGCAGGTGGATGGGAGGCTGGATGGGCCTGAGATCACCGTGTGCACCAGCTGACTGGCTGGAGGGAGCACCTGCAGTTTGGGTTCTGGAAGGCGTTTGCAATGGCTGGGGCACAGAATATGAGCTGTGGAGGACAGGGAGAGGCTGGAGGCCAGCCAGGAGCCGACTCTGGTGTATTGCACTAGGATCTGGATTTGACCGTAGTTAAAGAGGAGATGGTGAAAGTTTGAAAGCAGGGAAACCACTGAATCAGATTTCAAAGCTTCCTCCTTTTCTTTCAAAAGCACCAGCAAAGTGTGCGTTCTTCACACGCTGGGCCTCCAGATTTGACACCCATTCAAGGACATCACACCTCTCTACTCCAAAGGCTCTATTTCTATGGTAGTTGGTTATTAGTGCTGGTGTTGGGGGGCCTTCAGGAGTTGGACAGGCCCCAGAAAAATTCTTTCCTTAATTATTAAGGTTTTGACTCATATTATTCTTCATCTCCATGTTTTTATTTAGAGTTCACCTATTTTTCTTAGTTTTCAAAATGCATTCGTCATATGGTTATTTTATTTCCTAGAACTCTATATTGAGTGCCTCTCAAGAGGTGTGTGGAGTTTTAAAAATAAAGTAAATCTTAGTAGAAGTAATTATGGGTAGCTTGTGCTCATTACTGCCTCATCCTTCCTTTGCTCAGGGCTGCCTATACAGGCAGGTGTCTAATTTTCTTTTCTCCTAGTTTTGGAGCTGAGCTTTCTGACTTTTCTCCTACATATGGGTCACTCATTGCTGAGAGCAGGGGAGAGGTCCAGACACCTGTCTCTAGGAGGCGACTCTCTTGCGTGGCACCATCTCCCCTGCCTGGGTCCCTTCATTTCCTGCTGCTAATGCTCTGAAAAGCCTGGTCTTCCCAGGCCCATGTGCTGTGCTCTGGATAAAGAATAAAGACATAGAACAGGGTGTAGGACAGAGGAGAGTAACATTCTGAGACCCATCTCCCATCCGTATCCCTCACTTCCCACCCTGCCAGGTAGCCTCCTGCTTCTCTGTGTTCTCATTAAACAACAACGACAACAACACAACAACAAAAAAGATCTTTCTTGGGATATAGTTTACATACCATGCAACTCTCCCATTTAAAGTATGCAGTTCGATGTCTTTTGGCATACTCATCACTGCACTTGATCTTAGAGCATCATCATCTTCAAAAGGAAACCCTATACTTTCTAGCTATCATCTCTCCCTGCATCTCCCCAAGTGCTAAGCAACCACTACATACTTCTGTATTTATAGGTTTCCTTATTCTGGACTTTCCTATGAATGGGATCACATACTATGTGGTCTTCGGTGACTGACTCCCTTCGCTTTGCATAATATTTTCAGATTCACCTTGCAGCAGGTTTCATTCTTTTTAATGGCTGAGTAATATTTCATTGTAAGGTTAGGTCACATTTTGTTTATCCATTCATCTGTTGATAGGCCCTTGGGTTATTTCTACCTTTTGACTATTTTGAATAATGTTACTAGAAACCTTTGTGTCCCAGTTTTTGTGTGGACATACGTTTTCATTTATCTTGGGTGTACACCTAGGAGTGGAATCACTGGGTCAGATGGTAACTCTATGTGGGATCCTTTGACAAATTTGTAGACTGTTTTCCAAAGTGGTTGCCCAATTTTCCTTTCCCACGAATGGGTGTATGGGTATTGTGACTTCTCGACATCCTTGCCAAGACTTACTATCTGACTTTTTGGTGCTAGCCATTCTAGTGGGTGTAAAGTAGTGTCTCACCATGGTTTTGATTTGTATTCCTTGATGGCTGCATTTCCTAATAATGTTGTCTGAGCTTATCTTTGGACTGCCCCAGCTTCTACCCTAGAGTGGTGGAGCAGACAGTGATAAGATGAGCCTTGTCTTCTAGGAGCTCAGCTTCTTCCCCAAATGTACATTGTTCCAGGTGCTTCTGACAATTGCTGGTGGGGCTGGGCAGGCCAGAGCCCTATGGGCTTCCTGTTGTCCCTAAGCAGAATGGCTCTGGGCATTGGGTTGACATCAGATGGTGGTTCCTATTTGTATAAGCCATGTTGTGGATTGTGCAGCCTGTGATCCCGGGCATTGGTAAGATGTTGGGGTGATGAAGGTGGGGAGGAAGCTGTGTTTCCTTTGGGAAGATGATCTTTGACTTCATAGCCACTAAGCTATTTGTCAGTTTCCTCCCTCCCCAAATCCCAAGGGATAACAAACCACACTGGGATTTGTGGACTTTATTTGATGATGTCTAGTTTCAGGACCTCTTTGTGCCTCCGTCTTCTTATATATAAAGTGGGGATAATGGTACCTGCCTTATAGCTTTGTTGTGAACTTGAATAATTTGGGTGAAGCTGATATCTATGTCTTTGAGTATATGATTCTGATGTGTAAGTTGAATTGGAGGCAATATATAGCTGGTGGACAGACCAGATGAGAAGCTAGTCCTGGTCCAGGACTGTTCTAAAGATATTTAACATTTACTGAACAGTTGCTGCATTACAGGCACTGGGGTAAGTGCTTTACATTTGTTCACTCCTTTGTTTCCTATGAGGTAAGAATGGTTACTATTACTCTATTTTACAGATGGAGAAGCTGGGGATGAGAGTGATTTAGCAACATGCCCAAGGGCACATGGTTAGTATATAATGGAAATGGGACTCGAATCTGTGTGACTCCAGAACCTATGCTCGTCACCAACATTCTTATATTGAATTAGGTTAATGGTATACAATCAGGTGGAGCTTCCTCATAGGAAGTTAGAAAGTTGGATCTGGAGCTCAGGAGAGAGATGAGGTTAGAGGAAGAGATATGAGGTCAACCACATGGAAGTAGTAGTTGAGAGAGTTATGGGGAATCCTCATACCAGATCTTTAAGTGGGGTGTTTTGTAACCCAAAAGGGACAGCTGGTTAGGTCAAGCAAGCAGCCTTGGACAGGAAGAAGCATGAGAGACAGGGACAAAGTTTCTCTTCTGTTGAAGGTTTCATATTTTGGGATTGACTTTCATGAAGCCTTCAGGTATGATCCAAACATTATATTGCCATTAAATGAAGGAAAAATCAGCAGATTTCGCTAATTGTTCTTAGTCCATTCTCTAAAGTATCTGTTGCCACTCTTCCCCTTTTCCTAAGTAGTGCTTCAAATTAGGAAGTGGATAGGAGATGAAAAAGGAAGGAAGGGAGAGACAGAAACACAAAGGAGACTTGAGTAATTAGAAAGTGGATGCCCCAGGCTCTGTCACAAACACCTGGATTCCAGCTGGAACCTGGATTTGCTGGGGACACCAGCCAGAGAGACAGGACCATGTGGCTGTCCCTAGTTCTGCTCCTTCTCTACCTCTCAGGTGAGTGGGGCTGGGGCTTTGGGCACCTGGTATTGGAGAGGGTGGCATAGTGGGTAGGTCCGTCCTGGTTTCAAACCAGAGGTGAAGTCTCAGCAGAACCTGGAAAGGCACATCCATTCACCCATCTTTATATCCTTCCATCCAGTCAAACATTCATCTACAGATCCGATATATGCTTATTGAGCACCAGCTGTGTGCCAGGGCCATTCTGGGTGCTATGTTTAAGAGCAACTTCTGCACTCAGGGACTCATGGCTGAATGAAGGAGTCAAGTCACTGTGATACAACATAGAACTTGCTGTAGAAGAGATTTATTCACACGATGTGGAAATGTACAACAGGTGCCCATAGCACTGCTCTTGATCTGACACAAGTCCTCACTGAGGCTCTGCTGGATGTTGGTCTTGAAGGATGAATGAATTGACTGAGTGGAAAGTGGGAATAGCTTTTGCAAAATATGGATCTCTTCAAAGGTCATGGAAAGTTCAGGAATTAGCAATAGTTCTGTTTTGTTAGAGCTTAGTTTTAAAGGGGTTGGAAAGGTTTGTTAGAAGGAATTAATGAGAGGTCTAAGAAGACATCCTCAGCATCCCCCTTAAGCCCTACCAGAACAAGGTGTGGTGCAGTCAGGCAAATAAAATTGTCCATTGAAGGTTGGAGTTTCAGAAGAGAAAGTCTTAAAAAAAAAGACTTTCAACATGCATGAGGGCCCATTCTCTGAAGGAAGTAAGGTTAGGGTAAAAATTAGAGGGTATTCTTTATGTTTGTAGAATAATTTTTATGTTGGGCGAGACATAGAACATGTCCAACATAATGATAGACTGTTCCTGTATAGTGAGTGTAAAGGCAAAGGTTTAAAGAAAGATGACCGGCTGGGTGACCCTGGCCAAAACGTGATTTTATTCTCAGTAAAACAGAAGAATGGACAGGATGACCTTCAAGGTCCCACAGGGCTCTCATAACTGAGATCTTAGAAGAACATCTAAAAGAGATGCATCTCATTACACATGGGAGGTGCTCAAAATGTCTTAAATGAGAATGACCATGATAATGGGGATTTTCTGCCCCCCCCCCATTTTTTTGGGTAATGGCCTTTTTTTCTGAATCACCATAATTAATGAAATGGGAACCCAAAGCAGTAGTGGCTGAAGCCAGCTTGTACCTGCTTACAAGAGCTGATTATGGCCTTATTTTTCCAACCCCATATCCAGTGACAGCATGTTGTTAGCCTGAAATCAGTCATAGTGAGAGTATCTACAGCACAGAAACCAGGGAACACTACAACCATGGCTTTTCCTTGACTTCCCTGCACTCCGCCTTGCTCCCTTCCCAAAGCCGGTTTTCTAGCACATCGCTGCTTCCTCACATCTGTTTGCTTAAATCTGATAAAATTGCCTAGCTTGGGTACAGTTAAACTGCAGCTGGAAACTTCTTCCCACCCCCTTCCAGTCCCACGGGGACTGGCTGATCTCTCCAGCCCTATAGGTTCACCTTTCCATACATTTACAGCTAGGGTTCCTCTTGGGTCCAGAAAACTTTGGAGTCACTTGTAAAGACTGAAAATTTTTTTTTTCCATCCCAGCTCCTGGCTTAGCTCCTTCCTCTCTGTCCCAGCATTCTCCCACTCACCACACCCATCAGAATTCCAAACACCATTTGGAAAAATGTGACCACTTTACGTTTATGGAGGGTTGTATGGCTAACCTGAGAAGGGAAGGGGGAAAGTTTGTAGAGAAAGAAGGTAAGGCCCCCGGATGATGATGGGGCTGGTGGTGGTCAGTTCGTGCTCCAAACATGTGTCAAGAGGCCTATGAGGGTCTCCTTGGGACCCAGCCCTTCCCAGAAATGTATTGTTCTTCCCTTGAGAGTGATTTGAATGAGAGCCAGGGGTTTACTTTTCCTCTTTTGAGAAAATGTGGAGAGCGGAGGATGCAAGAAGTGCTCAGAACAAGTTTGAGTTGCAGAAAACCTGAACGTAGAGCCTCATTCCAAAGGAAAGTGGTTTTGGACATGAGCTAATCTCATGCCTGGCAAAGGCTAAGGACAGAGCAGGACAGCTAGCTCCCTCTGCTCCCTCTCCAGGTTCTGATTCTCCCTGTCTCCAAGGGCTGGGATCCCCATGTGGTTATTCAGTGTTTCTGGGCTCATAGGGAACAGGTCTCTATTCTTCTTGTTGGCCATAGTCTCCAGACCCTCTGGTTTGGTCCTAAGCTCAGGTGTCCCTCCAAGTCCCCATCCCTGAGCCTGGGATTGTCCATACCTCCCTAGCAACTTTCCACTTGGGCTTCAGGCAGACAGCCCCTAAGGGGTTCCATTAAGACGGAGTCCTGGGATGTGGCTTATGTTTTCCAGGCTCTTTGTCCTTGACGGGCCCCGACTCTGTGATGGGCACCTTGGGTGGCTCTCTGAGTGTGCACTGTCAGTACGAAAAGAAATACCAGGAGTATAACAAATACTGGTGCCGAGGAAACTATGACATAACATGTGAGAATATTGTGGAGACCAAGGGAAAAGAGAAAGAAGAGAGGAGTGGGCGCGTGACCATCAGAGACCATGCAGATAACCTCACCTTTATAGTGACCATGGAGAACCTCACTGCAGATGATGCTGGATCCTACTGGTGTAAAATTCAGAAAATATGGTTCCTGGACATGTGGTCATATGACCCTTCAGTTCAGGTTAAGGTATCTGTTTTTGAAGGTAAGAGATCCTTTTACTCCATCAGTGGAGCTTATGGGATATGATTGAACATGGGGACAAGGATGAGTGCCATGCTGAAGAGTGTCTCTGGGTCTTGTCTAGTCCTCAGGCCCAGTGGTGTTGGGAAGAGCCTGTGCTGAGGGCAGGGAGAGAGGAGATGACTCTTCAGACTTGGCATGGGTGGGGGTGTGTAGCGGAAGGTACTCTCACTCTCATAGGGCCAGGGCCTCACTCTATTGCCTGGGAGGCCCCTCCATGCCAGACCAAGACTTTCCACTACGCTCTTTGAAAATCCATACCAAAAGAGATAAACTCTTCATATATACATCTTCAGCTTGCTCACAGAACATTCCCTCTACTATACTGTCCTGAAATTGGCCTCGCTTCCCTCATTTCAAGAACTAGCCTTCTTGAGTGGAAGTGCTTTCTCCTACACCAATGTGCCATAGGGTGGTGAAGCCATGTCCAAATTCTCCCAGCCCTCTATCACAACTTCCAACCTATCACTTCCCACCTGCTTCCTTTAACTTTTGTGTCACATGGCCACATGCATTCTCTACTTCTCCTTCCATTGGCGTCTAGGTTATTCCTTGACATCTCTAATCCCTGTCATCATTTTGGGAGTTTTTAATGAGTAACTTGTCTCAGCTTCCAGGACCTTCTCAACTGCCGTGGCCTACATTTCCACTCTCCAGAATCTCACTCCATGGCAACTTTGCACATCTTGCTGTCACCTCAAACTGGTCCACATCCAGAACCCTACACTCAGACGTTATACTTTCAGACAACTTTCTGTGCACCAGCCTTCTCACATCCTCAGCCCTACTAGCCCTATTCTCAACCTCACATATGCCCCCAGTCCTTGGATCTCTCTTTCCATTCTATCCCCATTTTTTGCCTAACTCACTTCTGCCCTGACGTCGCTTCTTTCCTAAGCCAGGCCCCACTCTCATGCAAGACTACATTTTCTTCACTTACCATGCACTATTTCCCTACCCACGTCTCAAGACCTTCATCCCTGAATCCATCTTAAAATTAGGGTGAGCAACCATTGGGGTTTTCCTAGGACTGACAAGTTTCATGGGATGCAGTGCCTTCTATGCTAAAACTGGAAAAATCTCAGGCAACCTAGGGCAAATTGATCTCCTACCTAAATCTATCTGCTGCGTTAACTGCTAAAGAAGACACAGATGGCGCCTATGGGTGTCAATACAAGTTCATGATTTCTGATATGACTCTCCTGTTCTTTTACTTTACCAAGGGCGCATGGGATATCAGACATGAACTCTCTCAATTTCTTTTCTTCTCCCTCTACAAACTTCTTTGATGCCTGACCCATTCTTCCCCCTTTCCCTTCTAGGTTGAGGGCCGTTTCCCTCCACCTATTCAAGAACAATCATCCTGAGGTTGGCTCCTCACTCTGTAGCTCCTTGCTTCCCCATCCCCTTGAGCCAAATTCCCTCATTGCTCTTCCTCTGTCAATTATCTTCTCTCTCTTCACCCCAACCATGAAAAACACATTTTCTTACGTCCTAAAAATATCTTGTAATCCCCATGGCTTCCTCTAGGTGCCACCATTCTTCATCTCTCTCCTTTCTACTTGCCTGGAAGGTAGCTGAGGTCCAAGTCCTCTGCTCCTGCTCTACTTGATGGGGTTCCCCCCTGTGCCCACTCTCTATCAACTTGAGTTGATCTACTTAGTTGCCTCTGTCCTGTGTGAGGGCAGGGATGGTGCCACAATCATCAGTGAATTCCCAACGGCAAAGACATCAAGACCTGTGGTTGGATGAAATGTAGCCTGTCCTGGGAGTGCCAGGAGGGGCTAAGCCTCTGGGAGGCTTGATTTTTTGGGGAGATTATGAGGTTGGGGCAGATTGGGCATGGGGACACAGATTGTATCAATAGCCTGGACATCTGAGATTTAGCCCCTCTTCAGCAGGGAGTTAAAATGGCCTTAGTTTCCATTTGAAGGGTGCTGTGAACCCCCTCCCACAGTCTCTTTGAGGCTTCTGGGCCACAGGCAGAGCCATCTTTTCCAGACTTGCCCCTGCCCCTTCTCCCTCTGGGGCTCCTTAGCTGGAGAAACCTATAAGAGACCCCTGCTCTCACTCTGGGTGGAGTCAGACTTGGAATGGAAAGAAAGATCTGGAATTTATTAGAGGTGGCTCTTATGATCAATTCTGAAAAGTCTCATTTGGTCCCTGAGGAGCTCACTCCAGCCAGGAAGTGGCCTGGGGCTAGTTGCAGAGCATCTTTTGAGTCCCTTCTGCAAGTGGGCAGTTGTGTGTAGCACTGGATCCAAACAGGCACTTAGTGCATGGCTGGGGAGAGCGGCATCTGATGTGTGATTTGTCTCCAGCACCAAGTAAAACCACAGAGAGGACCACATGTCAAGCTGCATCTGCTGGCTTTCTGGGACCGAACACCAAGCAGAACCTCAGCACCGAGGAGGTGTTGACCTGCTCCGGGTAAGGAAAGGACTCACAGCCTAGAGACCACAGACGAGGGGGTTCAGCAGCCTTATGGGACTTTGGTCGGTGCTGGCAACACACCATGACCTTTTTACCTCACTGCTGGGTTTTCTTCCAGTTCTGGTCCCGATTTTTACATTCTCCGTGGCTGCATGGGGATTCCATGTGGAATGTATCACTTGTTTTGTGAACGCTCTCCCCCATGGGGTAGCTGCAGGGGAACAGGAGGCTGGTTCAGGTGGACATGTAGCCCCTCCCATGCCCACCGCTCCCCCTCTCCTTTCCCACCTGGTTCTGGACTCTGGGTGCTGGTTCTGTGACCCCAACTTGGCCTTGCCTCCAAAGGTCTTTACTGTATCAGAGATCCAGGAGCTGCTTGTAGGGAGTGGGGGAGTTGGGCTGGCTCTAGGCTATTCTCCTCCCAAAGATACCCAGAAAGGGCCCTGCAGGGCAGAGGACAAGAGTCAGGGCTTTATTTTTTATTTTTTTTACAAGATTTTATTTATTTATTCATGAGAGATGAGAGATGAGAGAGAGAGAGAGAGAGAGAGAGAGAGAGAGAGAGCTAGAGACACAGGCAAAGGGAGAAGCAGGCCCCATGCAGGGAGCCTGACATGGGACTCGATCCTGGGACTCCAGGATCACGCCCTGGACCAAAGGCAGGCGCTAAACTGCTGAGCCACCCAGGGATCCCTGAGTCAGGGCTTTAAAGTGAGAGTGGGGGTGGCTTTTAAGAAGTGAGTTGATAAGGAAAAATGTGAGAGGAAAGGACAGAGAGGAAGCTTCTGGAAAGCAGGCACTGCTTTCTCTTTGCCCCGTCACCTCTCCTTGGCAGGATTCTCATGATCAAGGGAGGGGAGGTGATGGGGCCCCAGAGAGGGGCTGCCTTGGCATGTGTCCTTTCCAGGTTTGATCTAGAAACCTGGAGATAATATAGCTCTAGAGTCAAGGCACAGGTGGTGAAAGAAGGGTCCTGGGTTTCCCCCTGAGGCGCCAGTCATTTCCTGTCCCTATATCCCCCCCACAGGTCCTTGCTCAGCAGTGTCCACTTCTTGCTCTTGGTCTTCCTGAAGCTGCCCCTGTTTTTGACATTGGTGGGTGCCGTCCTCTGGGTGAACAGGCCTCAGAAGGGCTGTGGAGGAAGTCAGCCTGATGAGAAAACCCCACAACATAGTGCATCGCTCCCAGGAATATAACCCTTCAGAGTGGAAAGAGAGACCTTCAGAATTCAGACTCCAGGGCAGGGGGGTAGCAGTGCCTGGATTCTGGAGACACTCAGGTCTTCTGGGAGTATGGTTCCTGTGTTTCGAGGGAGAATCCTGGGCCTTAGAGGACACTTGCTTTGAGTCCTCAGATACAGGGAGGATGAGTCTCCTGGGCTCATGCTTGGGGTCCTTCTCTGCCCCAGATCCTGTAGGTCCTTGCCCTCATGCCTACTTCCCAAGGGCAAGAATTCTCTGGAAGTTGCAAGAAATCCTGACCCTTTATGCTTCTCCTTGCCACAAAAGCTTCTCAGCTAAGTGCTCTCCTGGACAATAACCACCTCCTTCCTGCAGCCCAGAGGCTCCTTGAAGATTCACCCTTCACAGCCTCAGTCCTTGGGCTCACAGGGCTTCAAGCTCACGTATGTCCCTGTGATCAGGGAGTGTATGGCTGGGCTCAGCACATCTCTGCCTGAGCCAACCATGACTGAGAAACTTTAGATTAAACTTCTGGGGCTGATTGGAACAGTAGTGGGAAGAGGCAATAGGTGCCCCTAACATCACTCCTGAAATCCCCCAATCTGGAGGGCCTCCTGTCCACAGAGTTGATGGACGGTCTACTTTAGTAGAAGTCTGGCTGAAGCCACATGTCAGGTTGGTGTTTTCCACAGGAGAAGCAGACATGGTTTTCCAAAGACAGGGTACAGGACACAGAAGTGAGGAGATACTTCCCCACATTGGAATGTCATGATGCCACAGCCACCAGGAGGCACACCAGCCCCGGAAAGGGCTTGGTTGGTTTTGAATGCTTGTCAATGGCTCCTCAGCTTCCAGAAAACACTCTGAGCTCCTGAGCCCTGTGTCCATAGGCAGGGCTGCCACACATGGAACCTGAGCCCTGGCATGGCTTCCACAAGGGCAGGGCCACTCATGGCAGAGGAGAGCTGCAAGTGGCCCAGGACTCCACCGAAGAAGAAGTTCAACCAAAGAGGCATATATGGACCAAATAATAAAACAAAGACAAGCCGATGTAGGAAACACAATGGTGGGCAAGAGAGAAGCTTGTGATGCACTTTATTTTTTTTTAAATTATTTTTAAGTATTTCAGTTTCTTCATCTTTCCATATAAATTTTAGAATAAGCTTGTCTTTATCTACCAAAACGATCTTGTTGGAATTTTGATAGGAATCGTGTTAAACTTATAGATTTATATTGGGGGAATTTACATTTTTACAATGTTGATTCTTCCAGTCCAAAAACATGGTACCTCTTGCAATTTATTTAAATATTCTTTGGCTTTGGTCACCAGTGTTGTATAAATTTAGTATGTGGATGCTGCACATGCTCTGTTAGATTTATACCCACGTGTATCTTGTTAAGCAAGTGTGACTAGCACTGTGTGTTTCAATTCGCTTCCTACATGCTTGTTGCTAATATAGAAATAGGATTGTGTGAGTCTTTATGTGTGTGTTTGTGTGTGTGTGTGTGTTTATTGATCTTTTATCCTGTGACTTGTTAAACTCATTTATTAGTTCTAGCAGTTTGGCATTTTTTCCATAGATTCCTTGGGGTTTTCTACACAATTATGTCATCTGCACAGAGGGACAATTTTATTTCTTCCTTTCTAATCTGTGTGATTTATGGTGTCCTGGAAGCCCTAGGGAGCTGCTGGAAGATCTTAACTACTCTGGTGGCCGTGTAGGACCTGCTGTTTTCTGGCATTTCTGTTTTTGAAAGAGAAACCAAAAGTGAAATTGTTCATGTTTACGTGTAAGCAACAAACTCCATTTAAAAAATATTCTAAAACAAAATATTGTGATCAAAACAAAACATATTTGTAACTTCATGCAATTCATGCCTGCAGTCTGTAATCTGTGAGTAAAGCAGAGAAATTGCAGAACTCCGTTGTGTCTGTCTGGTATTTACACTTGGGGCCATATGGTGCCCCCAACAGGCCTGGGAACTGACCTTTCAAGCACACAGATGGATTTGCAGGGAAGCCATGGGGGCTGGCCCCAGGCTGGCTCTGGGGCAGATCCACGTCTGTTCCCTGGCCTTCTGACTTGGGCCGGGTGCCTCAGACCATCCAGGCACCTTGTTCTATAATGTGAAGTGAAAGCACTAGATCAAGATTCTTCCATGTGGCAATTCTAACATGGGACTACAAATTTCTTGACACTCTTTATAAAGAGCTGGAGTTATGTCCCCTCCCCCTTGGGTCTAGGTAGGCTGTGGCTGCTGCAGCCAGTAGCACAGAGTGGAGCTTTGCCAACTTTTTCCCCTTATAATTATCCTCCTAACAAGCCTGCTTATTCATTTTCTTTTCCTAGAAACGCCCCTCCCCATGCTATGGAATTTTAATACCAAAGATATACTTATATGCCTATGTTCTATCTATCAATTGATCATCTTGTATATATATCATTTTGTATATTAAAAAAGTATCATTTTTTCACCTTCCAAGAACCAGTGTTTGTCCTCATTGGAAGGCATGGATAGAGCATGGTGACAGAGACCCTGTGTGACTCCTAAGACCAGGCCAGAAGGAACCCTGTAGCTTCTTCTTCAGACTCTTGAAATGCTGGCTCTGAGAAGTCCCCCAATCAGAACCTGGCGGCCACATGGAGAGGTTACCTGTAAGGTCTCGGATCAACGATCAGGACTGAGTACAGTCAGGGCTGTGACTCAGGGTCACCCGGGCTCATGATCCAGGTGCATAGGTGACAAGCTTCCAGATGACAGCAGCACCTAGCCATTTGAGTCCCCCCACCCCACCCATTAAGTCTTCTAAACTGAGGCCTCAGACGTGATGGAGCAGAGATAGGCCATCTCTATCTCAATCCACTGGGATTCCTGACCACAAAATCTGTGACATGACAAAGTGATCACTGTTTTATTCCATAAGGAAAATCTAAGCATAGACAACTGGACCGTCTGGGCTCTATCCGTTCTAGGGTCAAGCAAGATGGTAAGAGAAACATGCTGCCTCTGCCATGGGCCTGGTGGGCTGTGAGGAGTTGCTGGCTGCTGCCAAGGGCCCCTGTGTGACTCAGCTCTGTGGCGGGGACAGCTGGGCAGGAGCTCCCACGTGGTAACACGCAGGCTGCTGGGCTTGAGGTCTTGCCCTTTCCTAACGGGTGACCCAGAACCATGTGGGCTGCAAGTGTCAGCATGTGGCAGAGGTGTTCCCCACTGCAGCAGAACACCTCCCTGCCCCGCCACATCCACTTCTGCAATGCTCCCACCTCGTCAAAGGAAAGCTCTGGTCAAAAACCCACCAGCGCCTTTCCTAACAAATGGGCTCAAGGAGAGGAACAGAGCACCAGCAAAAGGCAGCCGGGGAGTTTGCTTCAGAGGAAGTAGTCCAGGACACAGAGCAGGGGGTCAGACAAGTCTACTTAGTCACAGAGGAATTACAGACAACACGACCTCACTAAAAGAAGGAGCTCAGGAAAGAGATATAGTTCCTCAAAAATGGCTCAAAATAAAATGTGGATACAAAAAAGAGCATCCAGAGCTCAGGAAGGATGTGAAGTGGAAGAGAAAAAAAAAAACCCACCAAAGAACCAAAACCTTTATTGAGAAAAAATATGTATACTTTTGATAATTAAAAAAGAAAAAGGCTTGTGTCATTTTTTTTTAATGTGTGAGCGAGAGGAAGTTACAGGAAGGGCTGAGCATCCCTAGCTTCCTCTTGCTCAGCTGGGGGGCAGGGTAGGGAGCATTGGAATGAGTGGAAAGGCCAAACTCTGGAGTGGGTAACGCTGGGTCAGAGCTGGCTGTGGGGTAGACAGCATCACAAGCATGAAGGGGACAGTCTGAGTCCCTCGTTTGTCCTGTATGAATGGATAAGTCCAAACTGGCCCTGGATCCCTGTGCCTGAAGGACCAGGGAGGCTAAGGGACCAACGGAGGGACAGAAATGAACTATTTTTGTGACCACTCGGTGAGTCCCCTGTCCTTGGAGGCCACCGATGTAGAGGGACATGGGGATACTTATATTGTTTCAATGCCTCTCTCCCCAAAATACTTATTACTTAAACAGTAAAAAGAGTAACTTCAATCAGTTTTGACAAATTTATAGTCATATATCTATACCTCTATTAAGATATTGATGCTATATGTTGGCAAACTGAACTCCAATTAAAAAAAAGGGGGAAGGATAAAAAAAAAGATCTTGATGCAATGACAGTAACCCAGGTATTCCTGCTTATGAAGGCTCATTCAACTGTACTCCTACCATGTGAAGGCTTTCTAATATACAATTCACATACACACACACACACAAACACACACACCACAATACACTTTTTTTTAAAGATTTTATTTATTTATTCATGAGAGAGACACACACACACACACACACACACAGAGAGAGAGGGAAAGACACAGGCAGAGGGAGAAGCAGGCTCCATGCAGGGAGCCCGACGTGGGACTCGATTCCCGGTCTCCAGGGTCACACCCTGGGCCAAAGGCAAGCGCGAAACCACTGAGCCACCCAGGCGTCCCCACAATACACATTTTAACAAATACAGAAAATAGGGGTGACTGGGTGGCTCAGATGATTAAATGTCAGACTATTGATTTCAACTCAGTTTGTGGTCCTAAGATCATGAGATTGGGACCTGCATCAGGCTCCTTGCTGGGCATGGGGTCTGTTTGGGATTATCATCCTCCATCAGCCTTTCCCCCTCCTGCTCACATGCTCCTTCTCTAATAAAATTAAAAAAAAATACAAAGAATTAACTTTCAAACACAAGTCCCTATGCTTTTCTTTATCCATTCTTGGCCATCAATGAAATTTTACATCTACATAAGGGAAGCCCTCCTTGGGACCTCTCTGAGGGGTAAGAAGGCATCATCCAGGCCTCTCCCTTCTATTGTCTCCCATCCCCCCAGTTAGTGTTGGATTTAAAGTCACTTCAAACCCTCTAGAGTGGCCGGGTTATCTTCTATATATAAGACATTGAAATAGTGTCCAAAAAATAATCTCAAGAGGCCAGAAAAACCATAGATTTAATAGGAAATGTACGGAGCAAACAGATGGAATTTGAGTCAGGGATGGTCCAACCTTGTCTGCAATCTTACATTCAAGTGATTCATATTTTAGGAGGCCCTGAATCAGCAGCAGGTGGAATGGATAGACCTGTGTACACCTGGCCCATCAAGGATCTTTGTCCGTGGAACACTTGAAAGCTTTTGGGTTTAATTCTGGTTTTATGGTTCCTGGTTGGTCTGGAATTGTAAAATCCATCATTGGCCAGAGTCCTAAATGATATGAGGCCATTATCTTTGGCAGAATCACTGCAGGGTCCCAAGGAAAGGAGGTACCAGAAGATCCACACAGGTGAGAGAACAGGTACCCCTGAAGACTGAGGATGGAAAGAGGATGTATCCTTTCCTTTCTGGGCTGCTACAGAAGAGGCCAGAGTCCTGCCGATTAAGAGTCCATTATCCTTGGCAAAGCCACTGCAGGGTCCCAAGGAAAGGGGGTACCAGGAACATCCATACAGGAAGATTCTTGGCTGCTACAGAGGAGGCCAGGGTCCCTGACCTGTGCAGAGCAGAGAGGGGAAACAGGGTTTATTCCAGGGTCAAGACAAGGAGAGTCCCTACCTAACAGGGACCCTCATTTCTCTTGGAAATGCAACCACTGCTCATTCCCTGCTCAGAAGTCAGAGGGTGTGAGAGTATCATGAATGGGAGCTGTGGTTCTCCTGCTCAGGCTGACTCTATTCTCCCCCTGGGTACCCTGACCCCACATCACAGTACACAGCAGGAATCTAAGCAGGGACCCCTTCACAGAGGTCAAGAGCACAAAGCTGAGTTTGCAGAGCAGGACCCTGTGCAGGGGACACAGTGACAGGTGTGAGCTCCCTCTTAAGGCATGAGCTCCCTCTTCAGGGGCTGACCAGCCCCTTCCTCCCTGACCTGACTCCTGAGGCCAGAGCTGCAGGCAGGCAGCCTTGGTCGCCGCCAGGGAAGCCCCTCTGAGGGCACAGACGTGCTGCCCAAGGCTCAATCTATAGGCGCCTCCCTGCAGGCTTAGCC